CCCAGCTTCAAAAACATCAGACCCAGGAGAGTCAACCAAAGCCTTCAGATGTGTGTTGATGAGCATGATGACGGTGGGTGGAACACCTTTGTGCTTCCCTTTGCCCTTGCCCTTGTCCCGCTCGTAACCCCTACCTTTGCCCTTTCCTGTGAGACCAGTCGTGGGTGTGAGCAATGCAGCCTTCTGCGCATCAAGTACGTCCTGGAAGTGCTGACGCTCTGGGCCCTCACACAGGTCAGCCCACCATTCTAGCTGGACCTCAACTGTATCAACAGAAGTTAACGTGAGCTCTTTGAAGTCCACCTTGCAAAGCTTATCCACACCAATATGTGTGAGGTATATCGATGCAATGTGTGGGGTGTCATCAGGGTGAAGGACAATGACTTGTACAGGCACCGGCTCCGAACGTGAAGTGGGCGCAGAGGTTATAAGCGTAAACAAGCCAGCTGGCGGCGTATGTGCTGGAATGCTGCGCAGCACACGATCTGCAGAAGCCCCATCCACACAGTAGACCCCTGGAGCGCGCGTCCACAACAAGGACATCGGATCCCCTGCGGCCTGTTTGCGAAAAGCATCTTTCCTTCCATCAGGAGCCAGAGGCACAGGCGTGCTAGCAGGCTTGCATTGTTGCCAGTCCTGCGCCCTCAAACGCCATTGGGGCACAGGGGGAGCATGCGCCGGGAAGGGGCCGGACGATGACGTGGGCGCGGGGGCCGATGGGCCATCAGGTGACTGCTGTTGCCAACATAGTTTGGCTTTAAAAGCAGCACCGCACAGAATGTCAACCTGTTGTTTTTGATGCTTGGCACCTTCCAACCTCTGTTTGACCTGTGCATCTGCAACCAACATGCGGATCTGGGCAACAGGCGGATGCAGGTGGCGAGTCTTCAAGACCCCCAAAACCACATCGAGCCAAGCTTTGCTGCCTACGCTATGCGATGTGGCCTCCCCACCGCCTCCACACAAATCGCGACTGCGCTTTGGATCATGGTCGAGTTTGGGTTCATTGGCAACTGGTTTTGTGACCTCCATGCCTGCGCTAGGAGAGAGCATGCCAAGTGCATGCACACAAAGCAAAGTAACACAAGTGATTGCAACCATGCCTGGCAAAGTATCATATGCCCCGATACCGCCAAGCACCCCTATCATCACACTGAGATACAGCTGTGCGTGACACAAAGTCTGGCATAAAAGACCCGTCACATATCTTGCAACTCGGACACAGATCATCGCATCGAGCTTAGAACTGAGCTGCAACGCAGCCCAGTCAGCCATGCCACTTCGCGCAAAGTGCTCGATGCCGGACATGGCCTTCATGGCTTTCATCGCCTGCAATCGGAGTCTGTTCGGAGAGCTGAGCAAACTTCGACATCAACAGAGCACGCAAACACATGCAGGTATCTTACTGCAGCCGGGGGGTTGCTTCAAGACTGCTTCGAGATTTAAGGTCTTTCATCTTGGGATGGCTGCGGTTCTCGGTGACTAAGTAGACGGGACCCCATACATCTGCACGACGTGGCACTTAAAGGCCTTCATTGCTTTCATGGCCTTCATCGCTTTCATCGCCTGCTGCAGTCAAGTTCCCCAGGCGATGGCCCCAAGCAAGCCAGCAATGCACGAATCAATGCACGAATCAATGCAGGATCCACCAAGGATGTGCCACCAGGCAGGGAAGGTCACAACATCTGCAACGCTTCCGTGTGACTCTTTGCAACAACCCGGCAAGCGGTCCGTTCAGCATGGATGTTCCGTGCCCTGTGGGCCTTCATTGCCTTCATGCTCTTCATCGCGGGCGCTTCCTCGTCATCCGCCTTCTTCTTCATGGCCTGTAGCCACTTTAGCCAAGGCTTCGACAGATCGTACGAAAAGACCGCTCTCTCTCACCACGAAACTGTGTAGCTAAACTAAACTACGCTAAACTTGCTATGCGCTCACTGACGCTCACCTCGAAAGCGTGAAAACCTCCTTCAACCCCATGCCCTCCTAATGCAAGCCAAACTTGATGACGGAAATAAAACAGGGTCGCGCGCCTTCATGGCTTTCATCGCCTTCATGGCCTGTCAGCAAGTCGAGGGGCACGTTTGACGCGTGGCCGGCCACGGCAATACTAGAATTTGTTGAAAATTAAGGCCTTCTTCGGGGCAAAGGAGGGTCCCAAACAATGTCACGGAGGTCCATCTGACGAACGTCACTGGGAGAAAGCCGCTGGTGTTTTCGGGATTTGGGGCTTTTGAAGCAGCACCCTGGTAGAAAGTACATGCCCCCACCACAATTCCGGCCTTCATGGCTTTCATAGCCTTCATGGCCTGCAAGCAGCAACTTACGATTCCTCGGGGCCTAACAAAACTCATACCGCTGGCAGTAGGCGCTTTCGGGATTCAGGGCGCTGTAGACTGTAGACGAAGCCTGCCTCTTGCACAGAAACAATGGCGGAACGAAACAGTAGGCCGGTTGCCTTCATCGCCTTCATCGCCTTCATGGGAGCCATGGCGAGTGCAGGAAGCGTTCGGAGGCACAAGGGAGGCGTGAGAGAACTCGAAGGGCTGCGGCAGCCGACTCTGTGATGCTTTGGCACGCCTTCAAGCGAACTGTCCGGCCGCCTCGAGGAGAAGAATTCCCACAAAGCCCCGGGAACGAAAAAAAACAAAACTTGAAATATATAATATATACGTTCCCTTGCACGAACACACACACACACACACACTCACTCAAAAACTCACTCTCCCTCCACAGCGCAACACTCAGGCGCGTCCTGCAGCCTCATCCATATGCAAAGGCAGGAAGCTGTCGTGAACATCCCACAACGCGCATGCGTCAGCTCTGGGTGTGGCTTTTTCCTGTACAGAGGCCCTCCGGTGCGCTGGGAGCCAGGCCCTAGGGACCTGGCGAAACACCTTGAAGCGGGTGGGCCAAAACTGCTCACTTCATCGCCTTCATCGCCTGGGGCGCGAGAGGTTCAGCTGATGTGGGCTTTTCTTCAGGACATGTTGGAGATGACCTGCTGCTTCGAAGCTTAAACGGGAACTTCGACATGAGCAGAGCAGCTGCCGGTTCAAGATGCGGTGATCTTTTGGGGGTGGCAGAGAACGACCACAGAAACAAATGAGAGTTTGTGCGCCGAAACCTGCCTTCATGGCCTTCATGGCTTTCATCGCCTGCAATCGGAGTCTGTTCGGAGAGCTGAGCAAACTTCGACATCAACAGAGCACGCAAACACATGCAGGTATCTTACTGCAGCCGGGGGGTTGCTGACTGCTTCGAGATTTAAGGTCTTTCATCTTGGGATGGCTGCGGTTCTCGGTGACTAAGTAGACGGGACCCCATACATCTGCACGACGTGGCACTTAAAGGCCTTCATTGCTTTCATGGCCTTCATCGCTTTCATCGCCTGCTGCAGTCAAGTTCCCCAGGCGATGGCCCCAAGCAAGCCAGCAATGCACGAATCAATGCACGAATCAATGCAGGATCCACCAAGGATGTGCCACCAGGCAGGGAAGGTCACAACATCTGCAACGCTTCCGTGTGACTCTTTGCAACAACCCGGCAAGCGGTCCGTTCAGCATGGATGTTCCGTGCCCTGTGGGCCTTCATTGCCTTCATGCTCTTCATCGCGGGAGCTTCCTCGTCATCCGCCTTCTTCTTCATGGCCTGTAGCCACTGTAGCCAAGGCTTCGACAGATCGTACGAAAAGACCGCTCTCTCTCACCACGAAACTGTGTAGCTAAACTAAACTACGCTAAACTTGCTATGCGCTCACTGACGCTCACCTCGAAAGCGTGAAAACCTCCTTCAACCCCATGCCCTCCTAATGCAAGCCAAACTTGATGACGGAAATAAAACAGGGTCGCGCGCCTTCATGGCTTTCATCGCCTTCATGGCCTGTCAGCAAGTCGAGGGGCACGTTTGAAGCGTGGCCGGCCACGGCAGAGGCTTCTGCTGATACCAGAATTTGTTGAAAGTTTAAGGCCTTCTTCGGGGCAAAGGAGGGTCCCAAACAATGTCACGGAGGTCCATCTGACGAATGTCACTGGGAGAAAGCCGCTGGTGTTTTCGGGATTTGGGGCTTTTGAAGCAGCACCCTGGTAGAAAGTACATGCCCCCACCACAATTCCGGCCTTCATGGCTTTCATAGCCTTCATGGCCTGCAAGCAACTACTTACGATTCCTCAGGCCTCTGCTATTGCACAGCCAGCGGGAGCCTAACAGCCTAACAAAACTCATACCGCTGGCCGTAGGCGCTTTCGGGATTCAGGGTGCTGTAGACTGTAGACGAAGCCTGCCTCTTGCACAGAAACACTGGCGGAACGAAACAGTAGGCCGGTTGCCTTCATCGCCTTCATCGCCTTCATGGGAGCCATGGCGAGTGCCGGAAGCGTTCGGAAGCACAAGGGAGGCGTGAGAGAACTCGAAGGGCTGCGGCAGCCGACTCTGTGATGCTTTGGCACTTCAAGCGAACTGTCCTGCCGCCTCGTCGGGAAGGCCCCGGAATGAAAGAAAGAGCGCTTGAAAATATCAACTTGCATTGCACACGCACGCACGCACGCGCACGCTCCAGAGTGCAACCCTCCAGCACATCCCAGCCCTCCTACACAGAGAGACCTTCCAAGAGGCTGGGAAAGACTTTCTCTGATGCCTCTCTGCTTGGCTGCTTGGCGGGCGGCGCAGACCAGAGGCTTGAGAGCTCTCAGAGCTCAGCAAAGGAGAGTTCGGCAACGACCATGGGCACCTTGCCTTCCCCTGCCTTCTGAAGAACATCTGAGACGCTCCAGGCTTTAGCTCCAAAAGATGGAGCTGCGAATCAGCACGACTGCCGCTAACTCAGCGGCACACATTGCACGCCTTCAGCGGGCGCATTTCCAGCGCTAGGACCGCCAAGTGCTAAGCCACGTCTCTCGCTACCAAGGTATGGCATGTCGCAGCGCCCTTCTGACGTCCTCTTCTCAAGAGCGGTTCAAGAGCGCACCTGAAACATTGCCTGCCTCTTGTCGATATTGAGAGCCCTAATCTCGCAGCATGGAAACAGTCTTCACGGTCCCTGCCCGGAGCTTCAAGTACTCATCCAAGAAGCCTTCGATTCGCAGGGCTTCTCAGGGGGCGAACTGGGAAGTCAAAGCTACGCAAAGGTTCTACCAGAGCCAGAGTAAGTTCTCTGTTAATCTAAACTCTGGAATTGAACTCCTGACGCTTCACAAAACCCAGTGCAAGGAGCCTTCTAGCCGTGCCTCTTTTTTGTCTGGATCACCTCCTGAACCGAGATTGGAGATGCTGTCATAGGTTCCATAGCCTGATTCGCAAAGAGATCTTCACTTCATGACACAGCGTTAACCGTGAAGGCACCTGATTCCTGAATCCAACCAAATCCTCTGATGCAGTCCCTTAGCCAAAGTGTTTTTCCGTGGACCAGTGATGTAGCCCGTGCCAGTGCCGATCGATGGGACCATTTGCCAGCTGCGCAGAGACGTAGTCCTCTAGACGCGACAGCCCCGTCAACACACTGAATGTCGAGAGTCATGATGGTTGGGACTTTAGAGGCTCCCATGGGCTTGTTTATGCCGCCGCAGATGTACAGCCAACTGGCCCATGCCTCTTCTGCTAAGCTTTAGGGACAATCTGTCTGCACTTTCTGTTTATCTACAGGCACCTTGGACAGGACAAAGGCTTCCAGTTCTCGCGATGATGATATGCAGAAGCCAATAGACGCGGCCAGCATCCGGACCTGAGATTCTACGCTTAAGCTCTAAAGCTCACAGAAGCTGCCCGCGTCCTGCAAAAGGCAAGGGAGGAAACGATGGGCCATGTTCGACATCCAAACACATGGACATGCTATGGAAACGGTCAGATCCAAGTTGCCACGTCTAGCAGCATGCTGGGAGAGGCCCGAGCTGCTCATGGGGGGGGGCCTTTGCAGTTTTGGGGCTCGAGCCAGAGCGGCTGTGGGGACAAAGCTCTCTGCCAACTCATGGCTGCATGTGTCTGCGTGCTTCGGATCATGGCCTTTTTTGCATTCACGTGAGTGCGCTCTCACATCAGGTGTCGGGGCACCTTGATGCTCAGGAAAACCTTCCAATCGTTGCATAGATGTATTGAATCAATGCCATTCACATCAGGCAAAGCCATTTGCAAAACCGCCACACTTTGCGGCCACGTTTGTCAAGCCAGGGTGGTGCGAGCCCGCACTGTGCAAAGAAACTAAACACTTCGATATACTCTCCTAAACCCTCAAAACTGCCAGATTTCTGGCGTGGTCCCAGGAAGACGCCGCCTAGCACCAGAGGTGGGAAAGGTGCTGCTGAGCCTTGCAGGGAATGCCATATAAACTCATGAACGCTCCTAGGTCTACCCGAATTCTAGTGATTTAGGGTTTTTAGGTTTTAGGGTTTTGGGTTTAGGGTTAAGATAACCTAAACTTCCCTGAGACCCTAAACCCAAAAGTGCCTGGAAGTGCCGCTCCAGCAACGCCTGATCCTCTGCAGAAAGCTTTGTGGTGCGGCTCTCCTTCTCGAGATCAATCTCCATGATGTCCTTCAGGCTTTAGAGTTTAGAATTTAGGGTTTAGGGGCTTTTGTGGGGGGTTTATACGGTTTTGGGGGTTTGGGTGTGGGTTTGGGGTCCAGGGTTTGTCCATGAGCGTCTTCTTGCTGTTCCTGTGCTATTCGCGTCCGGTTCTGGCCAAGAAGGCTTTCAGAGGTTCTCCACTTGGACCCCGCCCCGCTCCCTCCCCCCCCTCCCCCCCTCCGTCCCTTATGAATGATTACTCCAACCCAACCTCCCCCCACTCCCCCTTTCACCCCCCAAAATTCCGACCCCCGCCAAATCCTGCAAACATTTTCTGGTTTCAGATATTTACCCCATCATGACTTGTAATCCCTATGTAACCCTTGCTTTCTCCCTGATGGATTCTGCCCGGCCGACCTCGGGGCGGATCGTCTTGAGGTCCGGCAGCGGAACGTCTTCTTGGAGCCCCAGAAACTTAAAGACGCGCCGGACGGTGCCCTCCGTATCCTCGGCGAAGTCCTGCGCAGTGATGGGCTGTTCAACTGTTGAACTCTCATTCCTTTTTCGGTACGGTAGAGTAATAATCACCGTCGTAGTACTGGGTGTTCTAGTGGTATAGGAATAGTAGTGTGTTACACTGATACGATAATGCTACTCTACAGTAAGAAGTAGTTTTGTCAACTCAGCCCACGAGGTACTTACACTGAAGGCTTGCCTACACTGCACCTTTTGTGGAATTCCACCACATACATATAACAATCGATACTCAACTTGATGCTGAGATCATTGACTACTTATGACCCTGCCGTTCTCAGTATGACTATACTGTCATGCTTGTTGGCTGCTCAATTAGACAGGTCCTTGAACCGCAGAAGAAGCATATTCTTCGGGTCAAAGCGTTTGTGGAACTCGCCCAGGACATTCTCCTGGGCTACTGTTGCGGGATTGCGGCTTCTCGATTGGAGGTCTGGCACAGGGTAGTCTGATACGGATTTCGTCGAGGCTTTCAGGATTGTTCCATGGTTTCTGAGGCATCCTCCTAAACCCTAAACCCTAAACCCTAAAGTACGTAGTCTCCTTAACCGCAACCCAGACTCGTAGTAGAAGCCTCGGAGCATGGACGAGTTAACCACAGTGGTTGCCATGGAAGCCGTGATCCTGCAAGGATTGGGATCCCAAGCCCTAAGCCCTCCTTCAGCCCAACCAGCCCCAAGTTTCTGGGTTTAGGGTTTAGGGTTTAGGGTTTAGGGGGATAGTTTAGCAAGATGATACGCAGACTCAGGGAAGAGGGCCTGTAACCCCCATCCAATCTGCACGCACTACCTGGCATGTAAAGCTGAAACATGGCAGACAACAAAACATAGGGAGAAAAAAGCTCTTGCTCCTCAACCATTGTCATAACCGTGACGATAATTAGCATAGTAAGAAGGATAACAAGGAATCGTCTGTCCGAACGCTGGATGCTCCGGCATCGAGGCGAAGCGCAAGCTCGTTCATCAAACGCCAATCATCTGACTGAGCTAGCTTCATCTCCAAATCGTACCTCAGCTGTCTCTCAGGAGCCGAACTCGGACAACAACGATGTCTCAGTTTACTTTGTGAACAATTATAGTGGTCGCATTGGTAGTGAGAGCGCTGGTGGTGGTGGTGGTGGTAGCGGTGGCGGTAGCAGCAGTACTAGCAATGTAGCAGATGGGCAGGAGCAGCAGCACCAGCAGCAGGAGCAGGAGGCGCAGGAGTAGGAGTCGAGCAGTTTCAGTAGCAGCAGTAGGAGTAGTAGCAATCGTAAGCGTAATCGTAATCGTAGTCGCAATCGTTGTCGTCGTCGTAGTCGTAGTCATAGTCGCGCTCGCAGTCGCAGTCGCAGTCATAGTAGAAGAAGTAGTAATTAGTAGTAGACGTCGTCGTGGTTGTGGTGGTGGTGGTCGTCGTCGTAGTAGTAGCAGGAGCAGCAGCAGCGTGGGGGTCGTCGTCGTCGTCGTACTCGGAAGTGGTAGCGGTAGTGGTAGTGGTTGTGGCGGTGGTGGTGGCAGTGGCAGAAGTGGCAGCAGGAGTAGCAGCGTCAGTAGTACCAGTAGCAGTAGTAGTCATGGCTCTAAGAGTAGTAGTCGTAGTCCTACAAGAAGATCAAGAATGAGAAACGACGCTTTAACAAATCACTTTTAATGGTGATCGCAGCAATGACACCGAGTACTGGCGAAGCACGTGGTTGAATGGCAATACTCTAAAGACATATGTAGGAGAGGACAGTGTCGTACAGGTTACTGCAACTTCGAAAAAAACTGGTGCAAGGTAGTACAGCGGGGAAATACCGGCGGTCGCAGAATGAAGTGGCCACATGTAAGAATGTGGAAAAACAAGTCCATGCCGCTAAGGCCACTTCTGCATCTGCGCTCTCAGACAGTTTCAGCTTCTGGGGAGCCCAAACACAAGCTAGTACGAATGCTGACAGAAACGCCAAGTATCAGCGGTAACCAGAATCAACTTCGCAATGCTAAGAGTACTCATTAACAGCAAAAGCCAAAATAGACCCTAAACCCCAAACCCCTAAACCCCTCTACCTACAGCTTCTCTGCGACCTGTTGCATGTCGCGCAGGCTGAGACCGTGCTCACCCCGGCCCTTTATCCTGCACAGCAGTTGAGCTGTTGGCACCAGGCCCAGCATTGTGTGTTTAGGGGATGAGTTAGGATTAATTAGACAGTGAGAGCGGTGCAAGCGGCACTTCCCGAAACCCGGACTCACCAGAACCCCAATCACAATCTGCGCTGTTGGATGAATTTTACAAGGCTTTTCTGGGACCAAGGAAGCTTGAGAAGGCAACCAGAGCTTCTACAAAAATGTACAGACATGTATATGTACATGATGTGCATACATATACATGTATATGATTGTTGCTCAAAACTATGGGTCCCTGTTGGGGGATTCTGGTGCAACAAGGATCCTGGTTTTTCGGGATGTTCATGTTTAAGGAGACAGTGAGAGTTTCGGGTTTTGCCCTGTTAGGGTTCTTCCTTGAAAGCTCACATCTTCGTAGTTTGAGTGTTTCACGTTTTTTTGTTGAGTCTTGAGGGTGTAGGGTTGAGGGTGTGGAGTGAGGTTTCAGCTCTGCATGCAGCACCTCACATCTTCCTAGTTTGAGTGTTTGAGGCTCCGCACAGAGTCTTGAAGGTTTTTGGATTGAGGGTGTGGAGTGTAAGTTTACAAACGTGACAACAGAAAGACCACGTACTCATGCATGTGACAAATGCGTTTTCAAAACAGATCTCGGCAATGGTTTATGGCAATGTAAAAACAGCTTGTTTTCCGTCAAGATTGCGATTTCGCTCGAGGAGTCCTCGGAACGCAGTTTAGCAAAAAAACGCCCATTCCAAAGCTGGTACACGCGAGCGTCCTTTGTCTTTGCATTACATGTCCATGGTGTCCCCACTCGGCAACCCTCGAAAACTCGAGGAATTTGCTGTGTTTCTATTGCTTCAATGCGCGAAAAGCTCATCGCAACACAGCCGATTTCCGCATCTGCTGCGGTGTAGCTCAAGGAGACACAGAAATTCACATCAACAGCCGACAACGGTCCAAGCCTGCTACAGTTGCTACAGACAGTACTTGCACAGGAGAGACCTCAACAGTCAAGACAGACCTTTCCTAGCATGGTTGGATGACCCACCCATATGTCATATGCCTGGATCTCATCTTGTACAAGGAGAAGGCGCCGTCGCACGGCTCCCGGCACAATAAGATGATCTTAGCATTGGGCGTCATGCGCCTGCGCAAAATTTTCGGGGGTTCTTCAGGGATGTGCAGGATGATGCAGGGACCTGTAGTCCAGGGATGCTTCAGGTGACACGGATTCCTATGGGTCGCGGGGCACCTGGAACAGACTCCATTTAAGGTAACGAGGGCTTCAGGCAGGTGCCTGTACATTGCAGAGGACAGCTCTGGCATGACGGCAGCAGTCGCGTCGCCATCGAGGGTCAAGTATCCTTCCTTGCGAGCGTAGTGCCAAGTTACATGGTGCGGTATCTTGGGGACAATCTTGCACAGCAGAACGCGGGAGGCAAGTCTGCAGGAAAGAATCCTGAAGGCGTGCTCAGCTTAGCACGCACGCAGATGGTAAGAATACACAGGATGTTGATGGGAATCGAGAAGGCGATCGTGCCTTAAGTCGGACCCCATCCTGCAAATAACCCCAGAGAACAACCATACATCATAGATCCATTTGGGCATTTCCCAAACTTGGTGTACCCCTTGTATACCATAGAATCCCCTTAAATGGACCCGCAAAAGGGATGTGGAATCATTACAGAGCCAGGGTGTGCCGCACGCTCCCTTGAGGTACTGGTGCGCTGCTTTGGTTGTGTGCGCTCTATA